AAAAAGGTCTATTACCAAGTTGTAAATTTTCTTCAAACAAAAAGGAATTTACTGCAATTCCTTGCGGATTTTGCACATACAGCTAGCAAGCGCCATGTTTTTTCCTCTCTTTCTCTCCCTTTCTCTCTCTCCCCCTCCCTATTTCACCCTCTCCTCCCTTCCATTTTCTCTTGCTTCTCTCACTCCTGCGTCTCTCTCTCTCTCTTTCTTTCTTTCTTACCTTCCTAAGAATTAATTTTTTTCCTTTGGCTTCATTCAAAACCTGTTCACAGTTGGTCTCTGTATCAGTAGGAAAACGAGCGTGGTGCACTGGCCAGGCACTGAAGGAGGGGACCCCGGCACCCCCCCTCTCCCCCCTCCCCTAGCCCTGCCCCCCACCGGTCACTGGGCTTCTCCTCCCCAACCCTCACAAAAAGGCCAGCTCCAGAAGGGATGTTGTGTACTTTCGGTTTTTGTCCTGCTCCACTGGAGACAAGCCAGCCCCAGTGATCCTGCGCAGAAAACCAGAGCTCTGCAGGCCAAGAAAGCTCACTCCCCCAACTCCGCCCCAACATAAATTGGGGAGCCTCCCATTTCCTGGGGTTTCTGCAGTAGGAGAGTCACCAACTAGCTCAAAACACGGAAATGGTTTTCAGTACTTGTCACCCTCTCCAGAACACCAGTGTGAGGGCCCACTGCCCTGGCCTTTATATCCTAGCAACATGCTTCAGGACAGTCTGGGTTCAGAGGAAACACAGTCTTTCTGGATTCCCTTGAATTCCTGCACTTTAAGTCCCTTCGAAGGGCAACTCTCATCTTTATGGAGTTTAATTGTAGTTCTCTCTCTCTTTGCCCTCAAAACGTTTGTCCATAGAAAAGCTTGCTCAGTGCAATGCCATAACAAAGAGAAAAGGGTAACTATTTGTGATTCCCTCAAATCAATCTAGAGAAATGGACGATTTTACGCCTCAAGGCAGGAGTCACATTCCTGTTTGATAAGAGCTGCTTTGGGTGCACCTCCTAGAAGTGGATGCCCTTGGCGGGCCTCCTGCAGTCCCCCCCATCATTAGTGCATGGGCATGACCTGCTAGGCTTCGGAACCTGCCTAAAAGAGGTAGCCCTTTCTCCCCAGTCCTTTCAAAGACACTGTCTGTGGGCTGCTAAAATGTTTGCAGTTGATGTTTGTGTGTAAATTTCCTACTATTACCATCCTCACACCCACTAAATATCTAAGTAGACATGGGCTTAAGCAGGAAGAAGTACAGCAACCTTCTGCAGCAGGCCATTTTGTAGCCTTCAGAAAAAAAAATCTGATAACCTTGAATTTTTTGATTAAAGGACTTCTGTTCTCATCTGTCTGTAAAAGTCATATTCTTTTTAGAAGCTAATGGAACCTAACTTGTGGGGAGACCCACAGCAGCAGTCAGGATCCATGGAAAGGTTTGCCTATTTCACTTGCCCATTCCCAGATTCCCAAGGATTTGGCAAACACAGGGGAGGCAAAAAATTACACACATTTGTATGTGAAATGACACCTTCTTCATTGATAAAAACAAAAAAATTTTTTAACCCACAATAGTTGTAATAACAGCAGAAAATCAGGCAAGTTGTTGAGCCCTCCCAAGCACAGGACACTTTACAGTGAAATATACATGTGGAGCTGAGCAAATAGATTGCTCAATTCTAAAATTTCCTGATAATCTATATTGTCAGTTTCCTTGGTTATCTTCTCCATTGTCTATATAAATAAAGTAAAGCTTTATATTCTCCTTTCAGGTTTGGGGAAGAAGAGTTAGACAGAGAATCTTTGCTCAGAAAGAGCGGCCATATTTGCAGTCTCCTCCTCCCCACTCAACCCATGTAGAGGTAAGGGATGCTCTGGGCTTTGTGGGACCTCACAAAATGGCAGTTCCTGAACTGATTTTTCTCGAGGAACCATTGAGACTCACACCCTCCTTTGTGTGTTTCTCACCCTTGCAAATAGAGAGCCTAAATCACTCAGAAGGCTAGGTTCTTTCATTCACTGCTAACCTTAGAGGGACTTGTTTTTCTCTAAACGGTTTACAGACCTCGGTAAGCAGACTGCAACATTCTAGTGCAGAGAAAAAAAAAAAAAAAGGCACCTGGGGTTGCAAAGCCAGTACTCCGAAGGTTTATGCAAATTTATGCAGCAAAAATGTTTGCTTGCTTGTTGGCGCAACGCTCAGACGTTTACAGATTTGAGCCAATTAGAAGGGTGTCTTGTGTGCCTGTCAATGCAGGTCTGTGTGCTTGAAACACAATAATGAGGATGAGGTGTCTAGCCATTGTAAATAAAAAGACAGTGAGTGTGTGTGATGTGTAATTCCCCGAGTTCTCTTTATTTGGAGGCAGACCTAGGCTACAAAAGGAAACATACTTACATTTATTACTGCCAGTGTCTGAACATATGTAATCTATGTATATGTATAAATTCATACTCCTGAATACATCATTTTTGCAACAGAATAATATTTTTCTACATGAACTAGGATTTTAGGTGCACTGGGAATCACAAAGGATGATACCTTCAGAGCACCACAGAATTCCAGGAAAATAAGGACATTTTAATTTCCTATTCCTTCCTTGGAGTCCTGATGTGACACTGGACTGCTAGCCACAAAGTTGGTGGTTCAAACCCACGAGCGACTCCTTGAAAACCCTCCATATGTAGTTTACATATAGGAAACCGACTCAATAGCACTTACAACGCTTTCCTTAATTTTATACCTGCCCATGTACCAGATGCCTCATCTGTACAATCTTGCCATAGTCAGTCCTTCTAAAAGTTACATCTGAGGAGCATCCTTAAGTGAGAGACAGCTACAGTTTTGCTAATAGGAAGAGAAGCCCCCTAAATCTGAGGCATCTGGGGCTTAGCTACTATTTGCCTGTGAACAGTTTACAGCTGAGGCTCTTGGCGGAGGTGGCTCTTGGCCCGGGTGGGGAGGTGGGGAGCTTGACATTCATGCTTTGTACCAGTCAGAGCAGAATTTCAGGCAGCGCACAGAGCAAAACATTCCCAAACCCAGCATATGCATTTGCAGCTGTTTCCTCTTGTGTAAATGTTTAAGCCTCAGGCCACCTGTGATTTAAAATGGCCTTTCCTGGTTCAGGTTGGTGAAAGGCACAGTCACAGACTTTTCTCTGGATGGAAAGTTGGCATTTTCTTTTTCAATGCCAACATTTCACAGTCCCTGAAGCGGCAAAGAGCCGGCAACACCATAGAGTGGGGAGGTGGAGGACCCAGATCTACAGTTAAAGGATTCTATTTTCTTGTCAATAAAAGTCACTTTGGAACTAAATACGTGCTTCTGAAAAATAAACATGCTAGAAAAGCAGTTGAGCCCTTCCCTGGTTACCTAATAAAGGTACTTTCCCTTTTGTGGGAGAGAACTGTTAACCTGAATTTCTTCACTTTTTTCCTTCTCTCTTCTTCTTCCCTTCCCCCATAAAATGGCAGCTGCAGAAGCAGGCTTGAGTAGAAAATGGATATCTTGTTAATAACAGATTCCAAACCCCAGCCTCAGTGGATAAAGTTCTGTTGTAACCTGGATTCTGGGCTGTCTGTCCCCCACTGGGCCGACAATTTGAGAATTTGAGTCCTTTTTTGAAGTTCAGTTATTTTAACCGCATTATTTAGAGCGAATAGATCCACTGATAGTTCAGCCCTTTTTGGAATTAGACCACCACCACCACCACAAACACACACACAAAACCTCCACAAGCAGCATTAAAACAAAACATGGGAAGCTCGTAACCCTGATCCCACCTTATTAAAGCCCTGGAGATTGTTAGTAATTTGGGAAAGGGTTTTTTGCGGTGCTCAAAGACACTGGCTCTAGAAAGAGATTCTTCATTTATTTATTAAGGAGCTCGATATGTTTTGGAGCGGTTGTTTACACTCGAATTTTTCTGCATTTGCTCTCAGGACTTGTTTCAAATGAGTGAAGCCATCGCTTTCCTGGAGTACAGCAGAGGACGTACCAACCGACATCTGAGATGCACACAGCAAGTTGGCTCAAAATGGGCATGTGAACAGAGCGCAAAGAATACAAATAATTATGACACCTACTCAAAAAAACAACAAGGAAATCACAGACCTAGCGAATGCAGGCGATTACAAGCAGGCTTCAAAATGAAAGTAGAAGACAAGTTAAAAAACAAGTGTTCCACAAGGCAACTGGCCAGAGTGAAAAGCTAATAAGTGAAAAATGTTACAATTGGCTTTTCAAGTATTCATTCATTCTAGATGATTTAATTGCCATAATTTATATGGATCATAGAAATGATTAAATGTCAACTCTGACATTGTCCTGAAATTTTTGTCACAGACCCAACACAGTTTCCCAAAGTTTCAGGAGGCGGTCGAGCCAGGACTACACATTACTCTTCAGCAACATGTGCTTTTTGGAATATTTGGCCCAGACTTTATCCCCGAGATACATTTACAAAATGCTCAAATAAACCTTTTAGAGTAAATAAAAGACAATCAAATCATTAATTAAAAAAGAAAAAAAGAAATACATAAATAATACATATTAATCAATTAATATAAAGTAAATATTCTGCAGGCATAATTAAAAAATTAATAGATTTCTTTTAATTTACTCACCATATGGAAAATATTTTAACTGTTCAATTGCACTTGTTTGATTAATAAAGCATTTTCTATTCAATTATTTAGTGCTATTCATTAGGAAGTTTACGTTGTCAAGGCAAATCACCAGCTCAAACATTTAAAACTATCATTATAAAAATATAGCTACAAGGTCAGTATCAAATGACTCTTGCACAGGACAGCGCAAGGGCTGCTTTTATGCAGTACTAGGAACTTTTTTAATACCCCAATCCCAGTCAAAGTACAGAAACCTCAAGAGCAGTGACATGAAGGTAGCTTGAAACACAAGTAAGGTCCTTTTCCAACAAAGAGAAGAGGTGGTGTCCACCAGTGTGTGATGAACATTAGTTTTAACAGTCTGGTAAAAATTTAACGGTGTAAGTTAATTTGTCGGGTCTTCGGCTCCGTCTTCCTCCAGTTCTTGGGCTTCCTTTTTGGTTTCCCCATCCTTTGCCTCCTGCCGAGAAACTGGAAATTTGTCCTTGTTGTTCTCCTTTTTCCATTTCATTCTCCTGTTCTGGAACCAGATTTTTACCTGCCTCTCAGTGAGAGCTAGGGCGTGGGAAACCTCAATTCTTCTCTTCCTGGTCAGATAAGGGTTAAAAAGGAATTCCTTTTCCAGCTCTAGGGTTTGGAAACGACTGTAGGTTTGTCTTCCTCTTCTTCTACCAGGAGCTGCTGAATAAAACAAACAAGGGAAAATAAACGTTTCAAAAATGTAATCGTTCCTCTGCAGGCTGCCGAAGGTTTCTGGAATTGGTCTAAGGGGTAAAACATACACAGCTCCCTTTAGGTCTGATCTATATACAGTGTGCCGGCAAGAGTGGTAGAGATGTTCACAATTATTCTGTCCCCATCATCTTTACACGGTTTCTACCTTTAAAACAAAAAAACCTGTATTACTTTATAAGTAATACATAATACTGTGACTACCCAAGAAGGAAAAAGAGAGAGAGAAAGGAGAGTTTTAAAGTAGGAATGTGAGATGAAAGCAAATTTCTC